AGGAATGGGGGGGGGAAAAAAAAAAAAAAGAATCACAAACTTACGTTTCACTTTTTAGAAAAAAGCATTTTAAGACAAGTATTTTGCCTACTTAGATTTTTAAGAGACATTTTGCCCCCGTTACTGTTGCTGCTATGAATCTGCATCAGTAACAACTTTTTTGGCCCAGCTGCAGCACGAGCAAAGAACTAACAAGATCCAGCGTCACATCAGAAAGCAACACACAGTAGACGTAAGAAAGAGTGAAAGAAAGAATGTCTGAAAGTTGAAGCTTGAAAGAGGAAAGCGAGGCTGGGGGGTGAGGAGTGGGGAAGAAACACCAATCAAACAAGGAAGTCAGGCTCGAGAGCATGTCCTTTCCTACTTTTAGGTGACTGGATGAGCTGAAGGTCCAACTCGAGCGTGTTACTTCAGCAGAAAGGCTGTTTACACGGTTATGTGATTTCTACTTCTTGTGAAGTGTTTAAGATACTACTGGAGAAGTACATTTTAAATGAAATAGTTTGCCACCTGAGCTAGATAGCCAAGGACCTGCAGGTCTGATCTGTTCACAGAGATAATTACACAGGTTTAGGACTCAACAGCCAGTATCAGTTTTCATCCAGACCATTTTTAATGCCAAGTTTTGTTTTTTTTTTTTTAAATAAAGATATAAATGGTGGTAACTGAATGTGACTCACTGCAGAAAAAAATCACATCTATTCCACTCTTATTCAAGACCATCAACCATCATTCACATTGAAAAGCACTAATGTGAAGTAAGAATAAGACACTAAATTTGAGCCTCATATTTGCCTTCAACATTAGCTCTAAACAATATGGGTTTTTTTCCTTTGAAGCACATGACCCTCAGGTAGATAAAGAGTTACACCCTCTCTGAAAATATCTTCTTTATTCAGACCTAGAACATGTATTATGTTGTTATACCGGATCTAAAGTACTTCTTGAAAGCTCAATGAACAAGTCAATCTGGCCATCCTGACTAAGGAAAGAAAGTGCATTTTCCCCAAAAACATGTCAGGTCAGTCAAAACAAACCTTCCACACTTCCGTGTTTTTTTTTTTTTTAAACTATATTAACAGAACCCAGATTTTCTTTCTTCCAATGCATATACACTTATTTACATTATCTTTAGAGCAATACACTTCATTCATCTCCACAGCTTATATTATTTTTAAATATTATATACTTGTATCAACATTCTTACATGAACAGAACTATCTCCACATTAATGATTATACTGTTACAATTATGTTTATACAAATGGCATCTGATAATCAAAAAAATCTGCTCAAGAGCAGGTCTTAATTTAACACAATCAAAAACAATCTAATGCTTGTTTAGATGTAGTCTAAAATGGTCAGCTGTTATTCCTTTAAACAAGCAGGTTACATGCATCTCAAAAAAACCCCCAACAAAACGTAGCATTATCTAAATATAACCTCTGCTGAACTAATTGAAAAAAACACCCCATCTATGCCCATCCAGATAAAATAGGTCAAGTGCTACCTATGGACCACACCAACACGCTGAACAATTTCAGTCAAAGAGCTGTTCAATGTGTTTCTCCTTCAGAACTTTAGTCCTGGAGACTTTAGGCTATGATCATCCTCATCATACCTATACTGTTTTGTCTATCCCTGACGTATAAATTTAGTCTTCCTCAACCTTACTTCAAGTACTGGACTAGAGGTAACTTCCCATTTCTGAAAAAAGATCAATACATTCCCTATCTAGCTGCTAAATCTTATTTACAACCTCCCCAAAATAACTGCACTAACACATGACCTAGTGCTTTTCTTTTCTCCCACAAAATCATTTATTCCAATTTCTTTCTTCGCATCAAGCTTCAAATCAGCTGCCATCTAAAAAGTTATAAAATACACATTTTGGACTGTATGAATTTTGACTACCAATATGGTTCTTATGTGGTTATGTATTCCAGAAATGCTGCTTTAAAATGTTAATACTTGTTTTCAATATTGACAATCATTATGGTGTACTAAAGCTGTGTTGGGGATAATCTTCTATTATTCACGCTGCTGCTTGTCTGTCAGAAGCACAACTTACCTTCCACAGAGAATCTGTGCTTGCATTCATCTAGAAATTCATTTGGTACCCCCTTCTAATTTAAGAGTCAATTCAGTAACTGTAGAGTTCAGTTTGGTAAGTACCTAACAAATGATACTTTACACTACCGTCATATTATTTCCTCACTTATTTAAAATGCTGTTGTAATATACCGCTGTAAGTGACACATACCAATTCTGAAAACGCTAATGGGCATCTTCTGACAACTGGTAACTTCTATCCTACATATGCAGAAAAAAAATTAAGTTATTCATCTCATCCTGAAGAGTATACAGTCTTTCTCTACGTTTTGTTTGTGCTTAACGTTGTAGCGTGCACACTTTCTGAAACAGTCAAGAAGTTCCTCTCTTGTGAAGGTTTTTCATTCCTAAGCACACTGAGCAGCAGACACTGCTCACAACTTGTCTGTGTTACCTACAGGAAAAATACAGCCACCTTTTACCTTCCCCATCTCTTGCAAATCCAAACGATATCTCCCTCCTAAAACTCAACAGAAATGACCTCACACGCTCTTCATGACTATTAAACAGTTCCACACAATACACTTTCAAGCATAAGTGGTAATAGCCTTAAAGAGATGTTTTCTATAAATCTCCTTCATGAACCATCACCTCAAGTTAAAAATAACCACATTGAAAAAAAAAACATTAGAAACGTTGCAATTTGCAAAAATCTGAAAGCTGTCCCCATTTCTATTAGATACCAAAAAGTCAAACACTTTTAAAAATAATTAAGAATAAATAATATTGGGTTTAGTAAAGGGCAGTTTACTGGTTAAACCAAGCACAAAAAGAAACTACTTATTTTTGGAAGATAGCAAGATATTAGTTGTGTCAAAAAGGACACCTGTTTTGACTTAAGTGTTTACTGTAAGCATCTTCAGCAAAGATGTAACAATCATGTTACGGTGAATCAACCTGAAGCACAATTTTTACTAGCAAGAATATGTTTCTCTTCTGTCCTTTCTTTTCAATGCTTTAAAATTTCAACAAATACCATGTTAGACGTTGATCTGCTGATATCAAATTACTGCCCAACGTCTATAAATGTACATCTAAAAAGGAACCAAGCACTGATTGTGCTGGTTTTGTTATGAAAAGCAAAAAATGACTCTTTAAAGAAACGACCCATCTTTGTCACCTGGAAGGATGGTTACTGTGACAAAGCTTTGTAAACCCTGTAACTGCTACAACTTCCCCAAGTGAAAGTTTTTCCAAATAGTTCAATGAGATCCTGAAAAATGAAATCGAATGCTGGTAGCCTGCACGGCATATAGAAAGTGCTACTCGGTAGCCACACTACTATTGGCCCATACTATGGTCACAGGTAGGAATCATGCGTCTCCATTATCTCCACTGTGCATGTTTTTCCTCCAAATACAAGCATAAAATAATAGTAAAATAATAAGAGCATCACTAGTAAAAACAACCTGGAAAAGTAAAGGTTGTCATTTTTCTAAAAAGAATCGAAACCTCTTTCACACCTATCAAACGGTTTACATACATCCAATACACAAACTGTATCAAAATGTCAAAGTATCCGGTTATCCAGGGTCTTGCCTATTGCTGCAGACAAAGCATTCAACGCTGTAGTAGAGCCTCATACCACTGGAGTTTCTGCCAGTGCTACCATGCACCCGGAACGTGTAAAAAGCCATGCAAGTTTATACAGCAAGCGGCACCACAAGCCACCATCAAGTTTCTAAACAATAACTAATATCCTCCGCGGAGCTCCACGTACAAGCCTGGTAAAGGCGTCAGAAATCCTCCGAGCGCTCTAACTCCCGCGTTTTCCCCGTTTAACCAGCGTGAGCTCCGAGCACACCAGCGTTTCGCCAACTTCCGAAGCGCTCCCAGCCGCTCCCAAACCCTA